GCAGTTGATTGACCGGTCTCTTTGAAGGATTCGGGAGGAGGATCCGTTCAATTTGTTTCACGGCTGGAGTCACTTCCTTCATTTCTGTCAGCTAGACACGCCCACACCGTCACTTTGCGTTCTCGTCCCTCAATGGAGAAAAGGGTGATGACGGACCTCGAGAGACGGTGGTTCTTTTTGTTGCATCGCTGAGGGATCGGTCAACGGCAGTTGATGCATCAGCCCTTCCTGAGGGTCGGCAACAGAAACCCTGTGGCTGAGACGATTTGGATGGAAGTTCACAGGGGCAGAATGCGCGCTTTATTTCCGTGCTTATGCCGATGGAATGCAATTATTTGGTTTTTCTTGTGGTGCCTCGTGTGTGCCATGACACTACATTGAGGAGAGCACGAGGTGCTATTGGCCGTGCTATTTTGTTATGCACCACGGCTCCTTTCAGGGGATGTGAATGGACTGTGTGGTGGGTCTGTTGAGGCGGAGGACGTGGATGGGCCGCGCTTACCCGACTGCTGCGCCTCAAGGCCCTGCAATCAGGTAGCGCTGCTTGCAAAGATCCCGCGGCACTTGGGATTCTGCTCGCACCTAACTTCTGCTGACTGTCTGTTGGTTGGTGCTGTTTGCCGGAGGGAATCTTGGCCCGTGCGCAAACGTTAGTGTCTATGCTTCTGTGCGCGGCTTCACAGTGCTTGGGCCGTTGTGGACGGGGAGAGTAATTACTGTGGCGGTTACGACGACGCTGATGTGTTACGCTGTGGCTGGTGGCGCCACCCACTTCTCTGCCACGTTAATTTCTGATGCTTTTTAAATATTAATTTGATTTCTTACACACAAACACACTCAGGCTAGGAAGGAAGCTACGACCAAGCGCTAATCGCCACTGTGAAATTCGAAGGCTCTGAAGGGACCAACAACAGCACACACACCGCCCACACACACACATATTTATATGCACTCACGTGTTGCTGCTGTGAAGGCACCCCACACACACAACCGTCGCCGCGTGACCGGATCCAGCGGGAGGAGGAGGAATGAAGAGAGAGTGAGCCGCCGAGGCCCAACATGTCCCGGCATGTGTTTACTTCCGCGGTGCTGCTTCTCCTTGTCGTTATGATGATGTGCTGTGGCACTGGAGCTGTGACCTCCGATGAGGAGCATTCAACTATTCCAAATTTTGAATGGACGGGCATCACGAATGATAGGGAAGTTGTGGAATCACTGGGTGTTCCCGGCCTTCTAAAAGTCGGGAATGACGTATTTGCCGTTGCCGAGGCGCAGTGCAAGAAGGATGGAAACAGCGGCTTTTCTGGGATTGCATCCCAACTACTCACGATGGGAAAAGGTAAAGAACCGAAGGAAGTGCTGAAGGATGCCAAAAAGGATACACAAGTTCTCGAGGAAGGTACCTCCCCAGAGAGGAGGAGAGGAGAGTAGATGTGAGCCGACCGACAGCAGTTGTGAAGGGAGGTAAGATTTACATGCTTGTTGGGAAACACAGCCATGGAGATGTCGCTGAATGTAAGGCTGAGACAGAGAAGATCAAATCGGGAATATTGCTGGTAAAAGGAAACGTCGGTGGTGATGAAGCCGAGAAAAAAATTCGTTGGAACGATACTGACGGTCTCCCGTGCACTATAGGCGACCAACACAAATCCCTCTCACAGCTGATTCTTGGCGGTGGATCGGGTGCCAGGTTGGGGGACGGAACGTTTTTTTTCTCGCGGAAGCCACGAAAAAGAAGGAGAAGAAGGAGGAGAAAGGTGTGAAAACCGCTTTGCTGATCATACACAACTCGGCGGCTACTAAGAGTTGGGTGCTGTAGAAGGGGATGTCTGCCGATGGCTGCAGTGATCCCTCCGTCGTGGAGTGGAAGGACAAACTCATGATGATGACTGCGTGTGATGATGGCCGCCGCAGGGTGTGCGAGTCCGGTGACAAGGGGGATTCGTGGACGGAGGCACTCGGGACACTCTCGCGCGTGTGGGGCAACAAAAACAAGGGACCTGCGAAGGGCGTTACAAGCGGGTTCATCACAGCGACGATTGACGGTGCCGATAGTGATAAGAGGAATGTGATGCTCGTTACCCTGCCGGTCTATTCGAGTAAGGACGGAGAAGACAATCGAAAGGGTGAACTCCATCTTTGGCTGACGGACAATGCGCACATTGTTGATATTGGGCCGGTATCCGAGGATGGTGAGGACGCTGCCGCCAGCTCCCTGCTGTACAAAAGTGGGAATAATAAGAAGGAGGAGTTGATTGCACTGTACGAGAAGAAGAAGGGCGATGAGGATACAGCATCACACGGTATGGTATCTGTGCTTCTGACTGCGCAGCTGAAGCGGGTGAAGGAGGTGCTGGCGACATGGAATGAAGTGGACAAACGTGTCTCCAAGCTTTGCCCCATTTCAAGTGCTACAGAGGACACCTCATCTGGCACTGCCTGCGGCGCTGTTAAGATCACGGATGGGCTGGTTGGCTTTTTGTCCGGCAAGTTCTCTGATGGCACATGGAGGGACGAGTACCTCGGGGTGAACGCCACAGTAAGGAGCGGTGCAGCAGCGGCCACAGGGCCTGTCGATGGCGTGACGTTCACGGGGCGTGGTGCAGGGGCGCAGTGGCCCGTTGGCAGTCAGGGGGAGAATCAGCTGTACCACTTTGCGAACTACAACTTCACTCTTGTGGCGACGGTGTCCATTCACGAGGTGCCGGAGGAAGGTAACTCCATTCCTTTGATGGGTGTGCGTCTTGATGGTGGTGAAAAAAGCTTATGGAGTTGTCGTACGACAGCGAAAAGAAGTGGCGGGTGCTGTGCTGTGACGGAAAGACCAAGAAGCTTAAAAGCACTTGGGATCCACAGAAACAATACCAATTGGCCATTGTGCTACAGAATGGCAGCCAGGGCTCCGTTTACGTCGATGGTCAGCGTGTGTGTGGGAGTGTGCAACGTGAATTGGAAACTACGGATTCGACGAGGATCTCACACTTCTACATTGGAGGGGATGGAGGCAGCGCAGGGAGCGAAGAAGGCGTGTCTGTGACTGTGAGGAACGTCCTGCTGTACAACCTCCCGTTTTCATTTTCAGGTGAGAATGCCGATGTGGAAGAAGATGCCGATTCACCATCGGAAGATCCGGAATCAGTGGAAGCCAATTCTCCATCCGTGGAAGGGGAACAAATTGTGGCCCTCCCTGCGACGAAACCTTCTGAAGCTCCAGAGGAACAAGCGGCCTTGCGACGGCCTCGAAAAGAAAGTGAAGCACAGCAAATAACAACGGAGGGGAAGTCTGTCACCACACAGCAATTGCCGGCAGCTTCGAGCTCCCATGCCGTTGGAGGAGCAACGGGTGATGCTGGCAATGTTTACAGAAGCGGGCTGCTGCCGCTGCTCCTTCTGTTGGGACTGTGGGGATTTGCGACTCTGTGAGGCGTGACTGGCTGCCGCGTGGGACACTTGCGCCCTCCCCACCACGGAATTACTTCCCCGATAACAAATATCTCTGATACTTCTACTTTTTTTTTTGCGTATTTTAAATTTATTTTCCTGTTTGCTTCTTTTCCCGTTTAAAATTTTTTTTTTTTCTAATCTCTCAACCCCTCTTTTTTGCTTTTGGGGCAATCACTATGGACGGTTTTTCTTTTTTTTTCTACTCTTCCCTCCTTTTAATTGTTTCTTCTGCACTCTTCCTGTGAGGGGTGCCGTGTGTTTCCCGCCCAACTGCTCCACTCGCACACCCACCGACACGCTCATGACGACGGCCCTGTGCGCCTCGCCTGCTGCACGCATGAGGAGGGGCCGCGACGAACGGCGCGCTGAGGGAGCCGTGACGTGTGGGCGTGCGACGAGGGCCTGTGGGGCGGAGCACACATTTCTTTCCCTCTTGTTTTGTTTTCTTTTTTGCGGCCAGGGCGGGCAGACACCCGCAGCGCCACACACACAGCCACACCCTGCCGCCGTGTTTTAAGGATTTTTGCTTTGCGTGTTTATTCCATGCGGTGGCAGTCCCTTCGGGGTCGGTCTCGTCAGCATTTCTTTCCCTCTGATGTTTTTTCTTTTGCTGCGCTCACTCTCCCGATGGAGAGACGCGACTGCCGTCATTTCTGCGTGCTTCTCTCAGTCCCCCCACACACACGAGTGACTGTGCTCTGCGGGCCGCACTCACGCGCCGATGAGAGGGCTGAGGGGAGCAGCAACACGCAGATGACCCCATGAAATATAAACGATGTGCGGACACATGGAGGGTCAGACGGTTGAAAGACATTTAAATATCTTTTAAAATTTTCTTTTGTGGACAAAATATATACAGACAGTTTGGTGTGGCCACACGGCAGCCAGGCGACTTCTTTTTCTTATTTTTAAATTTGTGTGGAACAGTAATGGACGATTTCTTTTTTATTTATAATTATTTTGTGTGATGGGGTTTATATAAGACGAAGGGGACGGTTCTTTTTTTTTTGTTTTGGATAAATTTTGTGTGGATTGCCACTGCTTGGAATGCAGTGCAGTCATGAGTTTGAGCGGTCTTCTTCTTGTTGTTTCCGCCATGCGTCTCTGCTGTACATTTTGTGCGTCTCTCCACACACTCTGCTTTCTTTTTTTTACTACTTCGCTTTGTGTTTCTGCAGGCACACACAACCACACACACAAGATGCACATTGCAGTGGATTTGAGTGCTTCTTTTGCAGTGCAAGCTGGCAGTTGCGTGTGGCGGCTGTTGTCTTCTTCCGTGGCCATGAGGAGAAGTGAGGAGGAGGGAGCGCGCAGCCCGAGTCTCCTTTCCTGCGGGTGTGGTGCACCGCGTGTGGCTGCGTTGAGTTGGGCTCCGTGTCCCACTGAGAGCGGGATGGCTGGAAATTTTGTTGCCGCGTCATGGATGGATGAGGGTCCACTGGCGCGTGTGGCTGGTGTGGTGGGTGCTCGCTCCGTGTGCGTTGTGTGGTGGCCGCGGGGTTTTGGCCATTTCTCTGGGGCTGTAGCGATGAGCTGGGAGGAGATGGTGGTGGATGTGTTGTCCTCCTGCATGGTGGGTGGCTGCTGGCGTTGTGTGCCTTCCTTGCGTGGATGCCGTCTCGTGGTGTGTGAAGTGTGCGGCTGGGCCTGCTGCCCTCTCCTCATGTTGTCTGCTCTCTCTCTCGCTGTATCCGCTGTGCTCCGTCCCTCTCCCTCTTGTTGCATTCTTTTCCTTCTGGCTCACAGATCAGCTGACTGACTCCAGCGACTCCACTACGGGTGATGATGACTGCGATGATGACGATGGTGACGGTGCGGCTCCGTGTGGCGCGCGCCGTGTTGGTCCTTGCGCTCTTGCTGCTGCTGCTGCTGCTCGTGTGTGTGACGACTCCGGCGGAGGGCGAACACAAAAGGAGGGATGCAGGCGCTGCGTGTGTGTGTGCAGGTGCCATGCAACAACGTCACAACAAACATGCTGCGACTCGGTGACCCTCACATCGTTGTGGTCCTCACACACAGCCGAGGCACGGCCCACACCGATGCACTTAGTGGACGGATTGAGGCATCTTTCGAGGCGCTGCAGGGAACAGGATGTGTTGACGCAGCCACGACGTGCATGGAGTGTCACGATGGCACAGTCGGCTGTGGCTGGTGGAATATTTACTTCTCGGAGGCAACAGAGAGAGAGCTGCTCCTGCTGCTGGTGTCGTTGCTGCCTTTTGTGGCCTGCCATGCCGATTATTGTCTGTCCGCTGATCATGGGTGGCATGCCTCCACTAGTGACGTCGTCTGCAGGCATTTCACAGCACCAGTGAAACACACATCACGTCGCATGCTTTGGCTGTGGATGTGGTGTCGTGAATGCAGCCGGCATTATTTTGCCCGACTCCCTTTCACTGCTTTGCGACAAATAGATGCGTCTCCGCCCGAGTCATTCACTGCAGCTCCGTGTGTTGTACTGCCAGCACAATACTCTCCTGTTGTCTGACGCCTGGCTGACAGTCGAACACCACAGCGTTGGGACATGCAAGGATGTGGACTGCCGCTCACGGTGTTGGGCACCGCTGTTTGGATGCGGCGGTCACACGAGCGGATGTATTGTGGCACAATCAAATGCGTGAAGTACGCGGAATCACAGCGGCTGCAATAATATCAGCGGTGTGGCACCACGGAATATGTGAGGGGATGATGCATGATGGATCACAGTGGGCGGCATGCGAGGGAAGTGCACCGCGACGGAGCGTCGTCCCGCCCTCAGCCTGCAGGGGAATGTACACCCACAAAATATATGGACGAGACACCACCAAACACACACATGCTCTTCCATGCACCAATAAATAGGAGCGAAGGTGCGTTCTGGTGTGTGGGAGTCCACTCACATATTTTCATTTCCACCGCAATAAACGGTGAGGAATCAGGTGCCACAGCAACGAAAGGAAAAACAAGCATCTATTGCAACACTTTACCGGCGAAAGGCAGGAACAACACAAACCGAATTATTGGCTGCACCAACACAAGAAACATTCACAAGAGAAGATAAAACATAATTGTGCACCCTGCAGAAATCCCCAACACACGACCCAGGCATGAAGGTTTACCCTCCGCAAAAAAAAAAACAAAACGCATGCAGACATATGCCACCCTCCAAAAAGAAACACAAATAAATGGTTGCTTGATTTATTCCATTCCCTGCGCTTATTTTTTGCGTGTGCGGCTGCTGCGGTGGTGACTGGGCTTGCATGAAGTGGTGTGCGCTGAATATGAACGGAGGCCGAAGGCAACTGAATTGTTTTTGTGATGAATATTGGCTGCACTTCCCGTGGATCAACGATCCACGTGGTGTGCGGGGATCTCTTTTTTTATTGTTACTTTGCTTTTGTGTTGCTGTGTGCGCTGCACCTCCTTTTTTTTGTGTGTGCGCACCCTCCGTGAGGGGTGCCGACACGACAGACCGCTCTCGCCGTATGTGCATGTGGTGGAGCCTTGTGTGCCGCTCCTGTTTGCTTCTCCCTCTTCCATCTGTGTGTTGTTGTTGCGGCAGGGCTGTGTGTGTGTGTGTGTGCCTGCTGCCGTGGATTGGAGTGTGTGTCGTGCGTGGTGTGCGGCGTACGGTGCATGCCTGGCTGCTGCCCTCTCCTCATGTGGTGTGCCCTCTGTGTGTGTGTCTGCCGCACCTCTCGTCTCCCCTGTTGCTCTCCATGTCCCTCACTGTGCAGATCAGCTCCACACCACTGAACGACCACACTCACGATGATGATGACGTGCCGGTTGCTGTGCGCCCTGTTGGTGCTCGCCCTGTGCTGCTGCCCGTCCGTGTGCGTGACAGTGACTGCTGACGCGGGACAAGATGTACCCAGTGTTCAGACGACACCGCTACAGCAGCCAGTTCTGGGGGCCAGTTCTTCAAATCCACAAACCCATACAGTTTTGGAACCGGGTAGTGCCGGTGCGGCAGCTCAAGCAGGTTTGGTCGTTGCGGGAGGGGGATCAGGTAAGAGGACCGATACCGGAAAAGAGACAGGTGGAGTGGCCGGTACGCCAGAGATTGCGGGGAACAGTGCGGAACATCCACGAAGTGAGAAAGAAAAATCACAAGGAACAAGTTCCGGGAGCGCTACGGTACAAAATCGAGATGAGAAAGACACGCCGGGGTTAAAAAACTCGGGCGGTGGGGAACAGACATCAGGCAGGACGGGCGATTCCGGAAAAGGGACAGATCTTGGACCCGCTCTGCCAGACGGTTCAGATACAACAAGTCTGGAGCTTGGTACAAAACAGGAACCAAGTGGGTCAGGTGAGTCAGGGGGTTCAGGTGGGTCCGCTAACCCAGTGGCACAAATTGGGACGGTCGGTTCGGTGTCGTCACAAATTCAGAAGGAAAATGCACCAAGTACTACGACCACCACGACAACCACTGCGCCAGAGGCGCCAAGCACTACGACTACAACCACCACGACGACCACCCGCGCACCGTCACGTCTTCGCGAAAGCGACGGCAGCCTCAGCAGCTCTGCGTGGGTGTGTGCCCCGCTGCTGCTCGCCGTATCCGCGCTGGCGTACACCGCTGTGGGCTGAAAGTGAGCGTGGGCTGTGCGTGCCAGCACTTATCCACGGGGACATGTGTACGTCTACTGTGGTTCGATGTATAAAGTAAGAGTAATTATGATGATTTTTTTTTGCTTTGTTTGCTTCCGCTGCCCTGCTGTGTGCTCCGCGTCGCTCCCCACATCCGTCACGTTGAACGCATCCAAGACACACTCATATGCATGGCACGCACACAACTGTTTGCGTGGAATCACATTTGAGGATGGGTGCATGCGCACTGGAGCCATGTGGTGCAGCTTTTTTGTGTGTGTTTTTACGTTTTTTACTTTATTGCTGTTTGTTTACCTGTGTTTTTGTTTTTAATTGCTTTGCGTGTTTTCGCTGTTTACTTGCTGCGGGGCGTTGTGTGTGTTTTTGCCTTTTCACTGATTTCAACTGCCTCATGGTTTGTGCGTTGCTGCTTCTGGGCTGCTGCCATTTGTGACTGTGCGGTGGCTGTGCGTGGTGTAGCGGGCGTGTCTCTCCTTTTGCTTTTGCTCTGCGTTGACGGGGAGTTATTTTGTGCTGAAGGCTGCACGCAAGTGACAGGAGTGTTGGCGATGATGATGACTGGCCGTGTGCTGCTGGTGTGTGCCCTCTGCGTGCTGTGGTGCGGTGCCTGCGGTGTGTGTGCTGAAGGACAAGATACCGGTACCCTTTCGCCGCCTCCTGGGTCTGTGCATGGTGATCAGGGAAGCGAGGCGAGTCGAATTGGCAGTAAGAAGGCCGATGTTACTGATGGACAGGTGACTTTTGATGGTGTGAGGGACCCAGCGGGCTCTAAACACCTTTCCA